TAGTCAAGTGCTTATTAGCTCTGGCCTTTCCTCTGAAAAGATCAGCCTGAACCACAACTGACACAAACTCATTTTTTCCTCAGTTTTTATGTTCAGCTGTGCCACATTGGTTAAAATCTGTAAAAAAAAAATTCATATATCTGAACTATAAAAGTTATTGCATTGCTCACATAAAAGTAATAAAGGCAACCTAAATATACTTTTTAATCAACAAATCAATTTTAATACTATTGATTCTTATTTTAATTTTATTCTGACAATAATGCAGATAATAGTAATTTTTCTCTAAGTAAAGAAAAATGACATCCAATTATTTTAAAGGAAGATTTGGCCTCACACGCCTGCGGGGAAACGGATAATTTTTTTGTTATACTAAATTTATCAGTGTTTCAATTTCCAACATCCTCTCACGGGAAAAAAAACAAAACAGGTTTTAAAATTTTTAAAGAATTAGAAATTTCGACAAATCTTCAGTCTTTTCTCAACACAGCAACTCAAGAACAACCTTATTTGTACTTTGCATCACAAGTCTCAATTATGAAGGTTATTTTGTTTTAAAACTATTTGTACATTGTAATTGAGAATTTGAAGTTGTATTCTTTGCTTTGTATTTGTAGAAAAAAAAAATTTTTTTCTACAAAATAGTGCAGTGAATACAACTGCAAGAATCTGCTGCTTTGAGTCAAAAAATTCAACTTTACAAGTTCCGTCTTCATTTTCACACAAATGTCACACCCGTAAAAACATTCCGTGACCTGCGGGTAGTACCCTTGATTGGACAGTAGGGGGCGCTGCCTGCTCGCTCAGTCTGTAAAGACCAGAAAACTGTAGCAACTGTAAAAAAAATTGTGTAATTTTTTTTATTTTATTCTACAAATACAAAAATTAGATCCATGCAGTTGTATTCATTGATTTTTATTCATGTTATGGCAAAAAAATATATATGTATTTTTTTAAAGATTTTAATACACGTGTTTAACCATTTGTTTTAGATCAACTGTAGCAAAACTGACATGAAGACATTTTTAAAGTGCAACTCACAAAACACAATTTCTGTACTTGTACTCAAGAATTTGAAGAGGTGTAACTTTTTTCTGTAATTGTGACAAAATCTACAATTACAAAACGCCAAAGTTACAACACACAAATAGTTCTGGACCAAAACTGAATATAAGAGGGTTTTTTTGGGGGGTGGAGGTTTACAGCACTTGTGGCTAATTTTTTTGGATCTTAGGCTGAAAGGAAAGGGGGAGAGACATGCAGCAAAGGCCCACAGGTCAGATTTGAACCCAGGTCTACTGCGTCGAGGACTAGGGCCGCCGTACATAGGTCGTGTGCTCTAACCACTGCACCGCCAAAGCTGTTTTTTTCTAATAAAAAAATTGTACTTGTTAGGTTTTTCTTTTTTTTCACACAATGCACATATAGTTTTAAACAAAAATAAACTTCATAGTCGATCACTGTCTGCTTGGATTTCTATACAAAAGCTTTGAAGCACTCTAGACAAAATCCTGCAGTGACAGCAAATGGAGAGCACCTTGTGAGACGTGAGGCAGGCTGTAATCTTAAGGACGATGAAATGTTTCAAGAGGACTTTTAATGTAATATTTTGTTATGCCCCTATTCATATTAACATAACTGTGTGGTTACCTTAATTCTATGCGATTTGGAAAAAGATCAGTTACTGTTTTATCTGGTGTTAAAAACACAGTGCCTTCAATCAAAAATAAGTAAGCAGTTATGCTTTTATTGATTGTTTATAGTTTGATAATATGTAGCTTTTTTTTTTTTTTTTACAGATATAAGATAAAGACAGCCATAGTCTTGCTTAATCTTTAGTTTGATATGGTTAAATATATGAACATTGAAAACTAAATAAATTGTTTAACTCGCAGTACTTACATTTTTACATATTTATTCAAAAAAGTAAAACTATAATTTTGTATTAGTGATTTTCAGAAGAGAAAAGAAAGCTTTATATTTGCTGTGAGACTAATCAAAGCTTGACATTAAAACCCTATATGGATGATATTTGAAATGGTAAATGAACCAATCTTGCAGAAAAGTTGTAACACCAATCAATATACCCCTCTGCAGCTTCTCAGCAAAGCCTTATCAGGGGAGGCATGAATGCAGTTTGACATTTGTTGCTACTATTCAATATGTTCCCATTTAGACTTCTATAGGTGATGGTTAGTTTGGGGAATTCTTCCTTATATAAGATGCAAATTCAGCATGAAATGGCTACAGGCCATGAATAAAACGCAAAAGTAAAGTTCTGAAACTTCTGTATTATTATATTTCCTCTTTGTGATGTCATCGTATTTCCCTGTTGGCCTCCTGTAAGTTCACTTTGACTGTTTGAATGTTGCTATGCATACTGTATATACCTGCCTTGCTTTAAACTTACTGTACATTAAAAAACTGTTATTACACGTTTATTATAAAAAGGTTTATAAAACATTTTAGTTTGTTGGAAAATTGTTTGTGCCTACAGATTATTAGCTATTATGAGTTTGGGATTTCTTTTCATGCTACTGCAATGCTATAGTCTTCATTAGAGTTTCACAACTAATCGATCGCCATCCATATGAGCGCCTTTATAAATTTTGTAGGTTTTGGCACATTGCTGTTTTGGAGCATACAGATGTTTGTGAACACAATTTGAAAAGAAACAAGCAATTACCTTTAAGAGGAAATTCTTCCTGTCAATCTGGAAAAGAATATAAGGATATTTTTAAACAATACTGACATTCTCACTACACAGTTAGACTATTTCTAATCGCACAACATTTCAGGTGGTTGTCAATTTTCCAAAAAGAGATGTCTTAGCAAATAAAGTCCAAGAGTTTATTGTGCCATTTTGAAAGAAATGCCTAGAAAATTGCATCTTGTGTGCTAAATTGCATGCCAAAAATAGTATGGATTGATTAAAAAGGTTACCAAAAGAAAATGTCTCTAAAAATTTAACTATTTCATTATTTGTATTTGCACGGTTACATTTGAATAACTCAAAAGTCCTCTGAAAAAATGCCCTTTGGATAGATGGGATCTAAGTAGAGAAATTTGGCTGTAATGTTCAATACTGTTACTGTGCAGCAGGGTGGTAATGAAATGATTTAGGCTTGTTTTGTAGCTGCACACCTGGGTAGCTTGGAATCGTGGTGCTGACTATTACCAGAGCCAAACTTTTCTACTGTCAATTTCAGATCAAGTTAGTTTATTAATATCTTGGCATTGAACAGCATGTCATCTTAAGTCATTTAACTCTCAGTGCTGTGAAATTAGAATAGAATAGAATAGAATAGAATAGAATAGAAAATCCCTTTATTAGGGATTTATTGTGTGGAAATTGTGTTATAGCAGCATTGCAGCAAAAATGGTCACACAGAATTTGACCTTAATTGTGTATAAAAACAACAAAATAAGTGGCAGAGAAAAAAATAACATAAGATTATGTATTGTTCAATGTTTTTAGATATATAAATACTTTGCTTTCACCTGAAGAATAAATTATCAGTATTCTGTTGTGGACATTTTTACAGTAGTGGATGTTGGAAAATGGCAGCAACATCAGAGATATGAAAAATGACAGCAGCATTTTATTTAAGTGCCCAAGACAGAAACTATGCAAAAATCAGAATGAATGTAACAACTTGTTGAGGTTGTTGGGAACAATGGTGGTTATGATTATAAAGTCTTCCAGCTGCTGGGAGGGAGGATCTGTGATAACGTTTCCTGGTGCATTTAGGGTGCAGCAGTCTGTCACTGAAGGAGCTCTGAAGTTTAAGAAGAGCTTCAAGCATGGGGTGGGAGACATCCAACAGAGATGTTTAGTGACGATCTTTTTGTTTCCCACCTCCTGCACTGAGTCACAGAGCTGGCCCTCCTGATCAGCTTATCTAGCCGCTTTCTCTCAGCTACAGATAATCCACGGCTCCATCAGACAGCACCATAGAGAGTCATAGAAGGTCTTTAGGAGATTCCCCTGCACTCCAAAAGCACTCAGTCTCCTCAGCAGGAAGAGTCTGCTCTGACCCTTCTTGTACTGAGCCTTAGTGTTTTGAGTCCAGTCCAGTTTATTGTTCAGGTGAACACTTAGGTACTTAGAATAGTCCACTATCTCAGTGTGCATTTCCTGGATGTTCACCAGTGTCACTCAAAAAAAATTATACTGAAGCATTGCTTAAAAATCTTCTATCAAAGAAAATCCATCTGATTACATCAAGTCATTGCTTTTGCCAAACGTACTTCATGAGGCGACAGTGGAAAGTTGACTGCATTGTGTCACAAACTTTGCAGCAACCACTCATATAAGGCATGTAAGTACTGTAGCTGTAACAATAGCAATGAGCAAGAAATCTGCTCTGGATGTCTATAAAGCAAAATGTTAGTACTCTGCAGTGGTTCAGTCAAAGTCCAGATCACTGTCTGACTTAAATGTGGTATCTTAAAGGACCAGTGCTGATATAAATGTGCATGACCTGAAACAACGATGTCTAGAAGTCTGGTACAAAATTGCTCGATATGGTGCAAGACTGACAAAATCATACAGACAACTACTGAGAAGTTTGGTGCTAAATGTAGTCTTACTGTAAAGCATCCTTAATTATGTGTGTAAACATTATTTCACATTATTGAATCATGTCTGAGAATATTTTTGATGCAAATCTTAAAAGTTATGTCTTTATTTGTACAAGTATAGTCTGATTCTGTTGCTTCCTTTGTGTACATAAGGTCTGAGAATATCGCAAATATTCGATTAGCAATATAATGTAAGGCTTTGCAGTCTTAATGCTAGTGGAATTTAGACCGATATTTAAAAAAATAAATAAACCATCAAAAATGCTTTATTTGCAGAGCTCATTTCTAGAAAAAAATATAATCTGGATGTAAAGAAGCTATTTAATTCCACAATTCTACAAGTAATTTAAAATATCATTTTAGTTTCTACCTTAATGCGTGAAATCTGAAATCTATAACTCCGTTTTTTTTTATAGGAGCTGGAGGCTGGTCTCCCCTCACCTCGGACGGCTATCAGTGGCTGGAGGTGGATCTCGGCCAAAGGACCAAAATTTCCGCTATCGCTACACAGGGCCGCTATGGCAGCTCTGATTGGCTGACATCTTACCAGCTGATGTTCAGCGACACGGGGCACAACTGGAAGCAGTACAGACAAGAGGACAGCATAGGGGTGAGTCCGTGCAGAAAGACAGATATTACTAATATGATCAACAAGAATTCAAAATTCTGCTGCTCATAAGAGTTTATAGTCTTAAGTAAACAACGACCCCTCCCAAACACCAAATAAATGATTAAATAAATGAAGCACATACACTCTGCTTCACATATTAGCTAAAATGTTTATTCTTCAGATCAGTTTCAGCTAATTTCATAGTCCCATTATATTAGGCTGATATTTATAGAGTACTTGGTGTTTAACTATTCTGGTCAGCAGGGATCAGCCCTTCCTGAACAAATTATCACAGTCATCAGGAGCCTTTGACTCCTCATTAATAATGAATGAACCAGTGAAAGAGCTCTGCTGACTCCACTGACCTGCTGCCAAAACACTTGAAGCTGCTATTGATGGTTGCAGAAAGAGAGCTGAGCCCTTGGTAAGTTCTGCCTTTGTGTCATGTTGTTTATATGGAAAAGAACGGCGCTGAAGCGCTTTGTGCCCGTGGTCATTGAGTCAGAAACGCAAATTAAGTCACCTGAAAACATGATGTAGATAAGTAGATGGAATAATACCTCCACCGTACAATGAGCATGATCTACATGGTTGGCCTTCTAAAACATGGTGTCATGTTCAATTTGTACTAAAACTTATATGGTGATAGAATTAATCATATTAAACCTTTTTATTATTATCTTAGATTTCATTTTTGATTATTAGTTCTTATAAATAAAATATAAAAGTATATACATTTTTAAAAATGTGCTAATTAAAAACATATTGGCAAAGTATCTCCATTTAATATGCATTTGCCAGAGGTTACCAAAAATATTTGGTAGAGTTTTGTTACACATACAGGAAATAAGTATTAGACCGAAACTCCATTTGTTTTCTCACTACTATTTGTGTTTTGGCAGAGTAAAATTTATTTTTTGTCTTTTTTTATGCTGCCATTTATGAATTGTAAAGCCTTTTTAGGCTGTTTGCTTAACTTGATATTTGTTTGCATCTGACATGTGTTGTAGTGGCTTTAACTCTTCTTCATTCAATCTTAATGAGACAGCAAGTTGTAGGAATCCTCGGTTTGTTATAGCTGTTTAAATATATCTAAAGTTGCTTTGGAACATAAACTACCCAAACAAGCATGTTGAAAAGCCCTGATTTACTATTAAAGTGGGTGTAAATGGGAGGTTTAACCAGAGTGAAAAGGCTGTTGGTTGGAGGGTTGAAGAGAGGGGATTCTCATCAGAGTTGGAGGTGAAGCTTTTCTCTTGTAGAGACCTGAGAAGGGCTTCCTGTGGATTAAATAGTCTGCATGAACTCCTCAACAATCCCAGTGAAATTTTAGAGAGTGTTTTGGAATTCCTATGAATTTAGAGCTTAGAGAGTGTAAACTGAAGAAAATAGAGGTATATTTTCGGTAACGTTTTCTTATACAGTACATCAATTACCATGTTACAACATAGTAATAACATAGTAAGTGACACTGTATTACTTTGAAACAAGAAAAACCTTATCTAGGGCTGGATATCGTTCAAAAATTTTCAGTGCCGTTACCAATACCAATACCTTCACTTCGATAACGGTTCCTGAACAAGACTTTTCTCGATACCAATTTTATAATATCAATTCGAAGATAAAGAAAATTACGCAACATATTAAAGTACAAATCTTGAGTTTTATTTTAAGCTCTGATTTTTTCATTTACATTTTTCTTCTTACATAATTTTTTTTTTCAGTGAAGAAGAACAGTTGCAAACAAGTCAGTGTCTAATATTCACTGTTACATTGTGAGGACCTTTTTACTTAGCAGTTTTTTTTTAGAAAAATGAACATGTCTGCTTTCTCAGGAGAAAAAAAAGCCCGTTGAATGGGATCCTACTGACAGCGGTGCGCTGTCAGTAGGCAGGATGGTAATCTGGATGAACTGATTGCACTGATTAAGTTTTCTGGTAGATTTTCCCACTTAAAAACATAATAAAACAAATTTATTCCCACAGATCACAGCAAATATAGCTACAAGGCAAATAAAGGATAGAGTAGCTCCGCCCAACGAGCGTCAGAGAGCCAGAGCAGCTAAGCTGCTTCAGCCGCGCGTCAGAAGCTGGTACAAGCAGCAAAAAGGAAGCAGCTGATGCGATTTTGCTGCTCCTGCTGCGTCCGGTTTGAAAGCAGCATGATTCACTCCGCTCTGGCTTTGCTCTGCCCACAGGCTGCTGAGAGGAGGATGGTTGCTCTGGCTGCGGTCTGCTCTTCTTGCAGTGAAACACCGAGCAACTTTCTGCTCTTAAATTGTTTCCGTGTACGATGTATTGCATTGCGCACTATTGGCATCAGTCTTAATAAAGTGAAGCCGCACTTTTGACCTGGGGGGCATTTTAAAGGGGTTCCATGACGACGCAACCGAGGCATGTTTGGATACTCTGTAAAACCGAAGCATTTCGGTCGGTACCATAAAACAACCGATGTTCGGTACCCAGCCCTAACCTTACCGGGTAATTGCCCCAAAAATAAGGTGTGTGATTTCAAAGTAATTACCTGCATGTAATTATTACAATTGTATGTTTCTATGTAACTATGGAGACTTTTGGTGGGTAACTACCATTAGGTTACTATATAACAGTTTCTATTATTGGCCGGCACATATTAACAGCTTACAAAATAAACTGGAACTTAGCATCAGGTACATATGAATAAGAGTTTAGTCAAGAAGATTGGCTTACTGTCTTTAAGGTTTAGTTTACTGTTATATGCCAAGTAATAAACTGCATTTTACTAGATAATAACACATTAATTTATTGTCATCAGTGAAATGAATATGAGTTACCTGGTAATAATGGTTTGAAATCTAAGAAGTCTGACTTTATCTTGTCTGCCTAAAATTTGAAGCATAGCAATTACTAAAGTTCTCCGTAAAGTTTTTCTTGTTACCTAGTAATATGTGACTTGCTGTGTAATTACCATGTTATTATATTATTATTGCTGTACTGTTAAAGAGAGCGTGATCCATTTTTCTGCTGAGGTAGATTGCTTCACTTTACAACTGAATTTTCCTGATTTCCTCTGGGGTTTATTTATTTATTTTGCATCTGATTTGGTCATATTATGAATAAACCACTATTTAGAGAAGCACAAAAGATACACCCCTTATGTAGCGTAGCTAGCTGTTTTGAACTTCATGATTATAAATGACTCAATTCCTCTCAGAATTTTTTAAAACATCTATTAAAATCTGATACATTTTCTTTGCCTTTGAACAATATTTTATAAGAAAATCAAAGTAGCAATGATTCAATATCTCTCTTTGATCAAAATCCATTCTGCATCAGTCATAATTACACTTTAGTTGAGAACAGTTAATTACAAAAAGACTGTTGTGGATTAAAAGAAGTTATATTTACCAATTATTCAAAAATAATTAAAAAAACAGCACAAAACAAAGATAAACTTAAAAGGATTAACAAAGGGCTACAATAAATTATTTAAAATCCCTCTACAGATAGGAAAAAGTTTTCTGATGAAGAAATGTGACGTGTAGAAGCTGTTTAGACTCATTCCGTTCTATAACGTTATTCAGTCTCTCAGAAGACGTAACCCTTTTTTTTAAAAATAATTTTTTTATGATAACTAATATTCATTCCAGAGTGAAAGGAAAGTGAAGGTTATAGATATCTGATAACCACCCTATATTATAAAATTATAATAATACCTTTATTTAAAAGCACCTTTTTAGAATAGCAAAAGACACTGTAAAAACCAAGTAGCAGTTAGAAGTTAGTAGTTAGAATAAAGAGGTGTTTGCAAAGAATAGGGACGTATGAACAGATGGATTTGGAGTTTAGATCGGGTTAGTGTCAGGTTTTCACACCTCAACAGCACTGGGGGAAAAAAGTGTCAGACCATGTTCTCTACCATCTCAGAACCACTTGACTTCTGGCTCAGTGTTGCTGCACCTCTGCCCCTCTCAGCTGCAGGGAAGTTGAGTTTTTTCCTTCCAGCAGTGATGCTGTCTGCCTTGCAGTGATGTCAAAAGTACACACATTTGTACACACACAGTAGAAGTATAGATACTGCAGTTTAAAAACACTCTGATAAAAGTTGAAGTATCAACTTGACCTCTTTACTAAGGTAAAAGTGAAAAAGTATGTGCTCCAAAAACTCCTTAAAGTGTAAAAGTATAAAGTAACCTTTAAAAAAGACAGCTAGATGCCATTATGAATAGAAAGCTAAATTTTTCGATAATTTCAAAAAAATTCTTTGAGATAGGACCAAGGATGAGGGAGGTTTTGTTGGTCTCCGTCTCCCGATAAGCTCTCGACTGTGTCCGACCTTTCAGACATTTCAACATCTTTTTCTGAATCCTACATTGTAGCATGGCATAGACAATTCACGTTAGCAGTTTGAAGAACACCTGCTTGCTTCTGAGGATTTCCTTTAGCTAACCAATGAGTGTTTGCGTTATATGACACATCCAATTACACTAGTGTTCACTAGATGTGGATGGAGCCAATGATCTGCATTGGATGGCGCACATGACGTGAAATAAATATTTATAAATATTAAACCAGAGGTAACCAATTAAAAATCAGCCGGGTCCAAATAAAGCAAATCATCAAGCAGTAAAGGTCCGGAGACATTTTTAATGATCTGTTACTTTAAACAGAAATTAACACTGAAATAAAATGAGGTATTTATGCATTCATGTTATACGTTGAATTTGTAAATTAAAAAAAACTGACAATTTGTTATTTTTTGTTTCTTTTTTCTGTCTTAATGTTCGCAGTGGGCTTTATGCTGCCCTGCAAGGCTTTAAACCTGGGTTTGAATGGAGACAAAGCCGTTCTAAAGCACATATCAAGGAGCTCATTTTGAGCCTGGATCCATATGTATTTTTGATTCTGTTCATGGTGGAGAATCCTGCTTCACAGCAGCAGGTTGAGCCAAACATACTCTAAATGTTCAGGCTCCGCTACGGTCCGGCAGGTCAAGATCTGCTATTGCAATCGCACCAAACAGGAACAAGAATGGCGAGAAGATCCAGTTTGTCAAATTAAAATATAGTAACAACAGATCGGTAACTACAAATTAGAGCATAATTCTTATATATTTCAATAAAACTAACACGGTTTATTAAAAAGATTGGGTGCAAACTATTGGTACTTTAACAGACCAGGAAGCAGATTTCTCATCTCCATCAGGAACCGCACATATGGTGATGGGGAGTTTTTTAATATGTCATGGAGCGCAGCAAGACGGGAGGAGCAGTGGAAGCTGTAGGCTTTGCTTTGCGCAGGAGGTCTGGAGCTCTGCGGGGCGGAGCAATGAGGGAGGATGTGGGATTTCGGGGTAGAAGGAGAAGCAGTGCAAGTGACGTTTAGGCACTGTTGTCAGACAACATGTGGTAATTTATAAATGTGATCAGGTTGGGTCCAGAGTAGCCAGCTAGTGGATCCGGATCTGGACCACAGTCCGCTAATCCGCAACCTCTGCTTTAAACCGAAGCCAAGAGTAACGAGTAACGATTGTTTTAAAAATGTAAGAAATAAAAAGTACAGATACTTGTGTGATGCAATGAGTAGAAGACAGAAGTAGGAAGAAAAATAAGTAATGGAGTAAAGTATAGATACCTAAAAAGTGTACTTAAGTACTGTAACGAAATGTTTGTACTTTGTGACTTGACCCCTCTGCTGCCTTGGAGTCACATCTAAAATTACCAGCAGCACTTTCACATATAAAGTGCTGGTTATTCTCCCACAGCAGTGTGTCGCAGTGAGCTTGTCGCAGATATTTTTTATTCATTTATGCCCAATATTGAAGTGTGGTCTGCGCTATTTTATTCCCCGCCAAAACGCGAGGAAGTGGGGGTAAGTTTGTGTGACAGCGGAGGGACATGAGGGCAAGAAAGAGCGGGGATCCAGGTGGAAAAAGGGTCTCAGCTTTCTCGCGCACATCGCTCTTCTAGCTGGTCCAACTTCACGAGTCGTTTTCCGCAATGGTGGTCATACAAACAAAACAAGCTGGTAAGGTACCAAACAGGAAATACACATAGAGTAGAGCGGATGTAGATTTGACCAATCAGAGGCCTTCTGTCTGCAGCACTGTCTGCATTCACCTACAATTTTGGAGAGGTGCAGCAGAGTGTCTGCAGAAGGGGTGGAGGCATATCTATATTAACTGCGACACGCAGACGACCTGGTTTCTGAGTAAAAATCAGCCTTAAGGCTTGGAGAAACATTTCAAACAAACTTTGAGGTAGTCCAAAAAGGATTAACTCTCACATTTTATTTTTTTTACCGAGTTGGGCAAAAAAAACAAAACAAAACAAAAAAAAATGTCTGGATGTGTTTTATTATTTTTTTATGACTCCTTTATGCAAATCTCAAAGCTCAGCTGCCTCAGCCTCATCAGTCTCTGGTGTAGGAGTCGTTACAAAGGCGAGGTCAGGCAATCATTAACCAACTTGGAATAATGCCAGAGATATGAATCCTGTTGTTTTATATGACAGATTAAAAAAAGGAAGAAATAAACCATGTATTTCCTTTAAAACAGGAATAAGCCAATAGAACCCTTCATTTTGAAAGCCGTATTGATTATTTGACTTTCCGTTCACATATCCTGCTTGTGCATTTTAAGTCTTTTCCAGGGAACAATAATGCAGACAGTGTGGTTCAGTACAAACTGCAGCAGCCTGTCGTGGCTCGCTTCCTTCGCCTCATTCCTCTGGACTGGAATCCCAGCGGGCGGATCGGACTGCGCCTTGAGACTTATGGCTGTCCTTACAGTGAGTGCTCTATCCTTCACTGCTCTCATTAGATCTGCAGTTTAACAAAGGAACCATCCCCACACTCCTTCATGCCTTAAGAATCAGTTGTATACACTTTTAAACTCGCTCGTTTCTAATGACCGATACTGTTTTCTTTAATGGATTTAATGGTAAAAGCTGCCGGGAATAATAAACAATTAAGTGACCTTAAAATGCATTGCTATTAAATGGTTCCTAAATTGATCCCACAAAGTAATGGCTGCACCAATGAGGCTGTTGATTAGTGTTTGTGCAATTCAGGGTCTTCAAACCTCCCTAAAAACTGACTTAAATATTTTCTGTTAAGCTTAAAAAGTGTTTATTTCACGTTTGAATCTAATGTGAAGCAACAAAAACATACACATGCAAATTGTTTTTAAATATCAAATGGATTGCTTACTTTTATGCATACCATTATGCAGAATTCTCCCTGTTCTCTTTTATATCTTAGCCTCTGATGTGTTGAATTTGGATGGCAGCAGCAGTTTGGTGTACAGACTGAGCCCCGGATCAAGGCCAACTCAGACGCATGTCATCACATTGAAGTTTAAAACCCTCAGGAACTCCGGCACGCTGCTGCAGGTGGACGGAAGGGAAGGACTCACCCTGAGTCTGGAGATAGAGAGAGGAAAGTTGCTGCTGCTTTTCAGACAAGGTACTAATGTCTATTGACAGACACTGAAAGATACTGACATATTTTCATTGATTTCAATATAGTGGAGCATTTAATCTGCAGACAGAGAGCTGGAATCTATCAGTGATGGCATTTCTTGTGATGAGGTGTATTTCCATTCCAATCAATCTTCACATAGTTGAGACTTTTTATTAACTTTTAAATGGATGGTGTAGAAAAGACACACCTTGCGTCCTGATTAAAGCTTTGTGCCTACTTTTCTGCTACCTCCGTGTCCAGTTAAGCCTTGATTGATGTTGTCCATTTGCTGCAGCATGTGTTAGGGATGGATTCTTCTAGAATGGGTGCATGCCAGATGTGTCTGTGTGTGTGGTTTGAATGGGATTACACCAGAGGTTGTCAGGTTGCCATGCTGACTAATCACCATCTGGCACACCTCTCACCAGAAACCCCGGCTGACCACAGAAATACTTCGTCGTCACATCCAGCTTCTTCTCTCTGAGCCAATATTCCTCCTTTAATTTCTGTGCTTTTTTTATATATATTTTCCTTGATTTGTTTTTTGTATCAATAAATTCCAAGTTGCAATAATAAACCTGCATCTTAAATAGTTTTATATCTCTAAATTTGTAAACCTTTAACCTGCGAATAGTTTAACCAATATTATTTTTCTAATAATAGGTTTAAACCATGTTTCTTTAATCTCATCCACTTTAAAGAGCAACATGTTAGAATAGTTTATTTTACGATCAAGGATAACAAAGCTACAATTCCAGGGTTTATTATTCTGAAATTTCAACTACCTGCTTTTAAATAAAAAAAAAGAATTTCATCCATTCCATTATTTATAATATGATACGATATAAACTCTATAAATACATAAAAAATATATTTTTTATAACCTAAATGTTCTATCAAAACATTTTTCTTCTCTAAGGCCTCACAGAGGATCTGTACAGCCTTGAAAGTGCTTCACTGCTGCTTAATAACACTGCATTTAATGTATCTCAGAAACAACCACGTTTTACTATAGTTTCAGTACTAAAATAAAATAAAAATACTTGTTTTACAGTTTAACTGGAGTCCAAGTTACCAGCTACATAAGAAAAAAAAACCTCTAGATCTTTTTAATGTCCTGGAATGAAAAATTCAGTAAATAGTTTGATGTATGAAAGATAAATACAACAGATTTTAAAAAGCATGTCTCTGAAAGTTTAAATTATGTATCTAAATATTATCATCTTCCCACACAGATGTCTGTGTCCAGTGTCTGAACCCTAACAGCCCAGCGAGCCCATCATACTAACAATAAACAGTAAACATGAAAAGTGGCTGGTTTTAAGGAGAAATATACTAATAATTACTTTTTAAGACTCAGTTGTATTTGAGGAACATTCAATAATAGTGGGTCTTTAATGGTGAATTGAATCTCATAAAAAGAATCTTCTTAAAAGCCCATGCTTTAACGAGGCTCTGGCTTAGTAAGTTAAAAAGTCCATACATTTAACTTTGATTCAAAGACAGAAGATGAGTCAAATCATGCTTTCTTCCCACTACTTCCTGTGTCTTCTCTATCGGTTTCTTGGTTTGATTATTGCTTGCCTTTGTTGTCTCCTTGGAGCTCCATCTCCAGCTTAACTAGAGGTCATTTGCCTTTTCATCTCCAGATTTGTCATCTTTCTATCAGTTTTTTTTCTGCTCTCTCTTACATTACTGTCTATTTGTTTCTGTTGGTTAGAGGCCCTTTATGTTTCTGCACCTCATTATTTCTGTCTCTGCCTTTCTCTGTGTTCTGTGGAAACTCTTGATCCACGAAGAAGAAAGTTTGGTTACACACTTAGTCATTTTGATAATCGGTTTTGTACATTATACTTGAACTCAGTCATGCTCTACTGTGCCGGGAGTCAGAGATGATACGTTTTATTTTATAGACAGAACTTAAAGATACAAAAAATATTGTAATTGTCTTTGTTACTTAAGTGATATTTTATAAGGAGCGGTCATTTATTTATATTAGGCTTTTGCATTATGACTAAGTAGAATGAGAGGGAGTGGCGGCCTAGTGGTTAGGGCATTGGGCTTTGAATCCTGAGGTTGTGAGTTCGATCCCCCACTCCCACAGACTGCCACTCTGGGTCCCTGAGCAAGACCCTTAACCCCACACTGCTCCCCGGGCGCCTCACAATGGCAGCCCACTGCTCCCCAAGGGGATGGGTTAAATGCAGAGAATTCATTTCGTTGCTCTGTACTTGTGACAGTGGAATGACAATAAAAGTTGAATTGAAATTGAATTGAATTGAGAATGTACATTAAAACATCTGTAGAGTAATTGCATCTTTTGATGTTCATATTCATTAAACTTTATTTCAATCTGAAAAACTCACACAAAGAGAAAAGACAATTAGGAGAAATATTGATACAATTACTTAGTGAAGTCACAGCGCATCCGCCGCCTGCGCACAGGAGCAGACAGGTGCGTATTGGAGGCCTTTTAAGATGAACTTTGGATGCAGATTGGCCTTCGTGGAGGTCTGGTTCAAAGCTGATTGGCTGTGTCAGAGGTGGATGTATGAAAAACAATTAGTTTCTTCAATTGAACTTCCACCTAGGCTCCATATCAGAAAAACTTTAAACCTGGAGTCTGCAGATCGATAAAAATCTATAAGCAGTTGATTATCTGTCACGTTCTTAGTTCTGTTTACCTTTCCTTATGAGATTTCACACTCACTTTGATCCATGTTTTTCTTTGTTTTTTCTAATTTTGTTGGTTTAATTCCTATTTTGTAGTGTTTTCTGGATGTATTTGAGTACTTAGGTATTTCTTGATTGCCCTCTGTTGCCCTCTTGTGTTGGTCTTTTTTTTCCTAGCTTCTTTATAGAATCCTCTGCTCACAACTGCTCCCAATCAGCTCATTAGTCCTGTCTTTGTTCAGTCTTCCATATATACTCTCCCATATTTAGTTTTCCCATGAAGTTGTCTGGTTTTTGGTTCCACTTATTGTGCACTTTGTTGTTTGGATTTTTGGCTCAGTGAACAATTAGTTGTCAATTAAATGTTCAAAAACTCGCCTGACTCTCCTCGCCTCTGCAGTGGTTTTCTGGTCTTTGTTCTTACAGTAATAACCTTCTTTTGGGAGCAATGTGAGCATATGCATGCCTTTTTGATCATTTGGTATGTTAAAACAGAAAACAAATATATGAATATTCATATAAATGTGATTTTTTTCTAGTCTTTGTATATTTGGATACAGGCTCAAAATCTGTTTCTTTATGGATAGTTAATGTTACGTTCATACCAGTTAACAATTTAGATCAGTTTTATTTTATATCAATTGAATAGGAAAAACGAACTGCTGTGTTACATACAGATAATCCCTTTTGTATATTGGCTTTATGGTTATTCAATTCGTCTGCTTTACACGGTAATTTATGCATTTCTATTCTGTTCTATAGATTTAAACTTATGTAAATAAATAACTGGCAGATGTAGGGATTTTTTTTTTTTATGGCAAGTCATCAATTAAAATACCTGTTAGCATTCCATTTTTTAGCTCTACAATATTTTCTTGTGAAACAAAGTTTGATAAATAAGTTGGATGAATGATTATGTGAATAAGTATGGAATAAGGCTGCAGTAAAATTGGATAAGCTGCTATTTTAAAAAAGGTTAAGGTGGGATTTTGAGCATAAAAACACTCAAGCTTTCAAGAATCAATTAAACAACCAATCTGCTCCCCTACAACTTGAATAAAACATCCCTTGGTCATTAGCATTTGTTCGTTTTTATCAGATTTTTTATGCTGAGTAAGTCGGTGCTTGCTGAGCATAGATTTAGAGCCAGTGTGTAATTAATCATAGCTTCCTCCTTTCTTTAGTTACCCCTCCAGATTTAGACACAGTGAGCAAACGGCTGTTCTACAATAAGCATCATCACATTAGTGTTTGATCCTTTCCTATCTGTTAGCAATCTCCTTTTTAATAGTGTTTGTGCACATTTACAATCCCATCAGCAAGAACAACCATTGATTACAGGTGACCTCCATCACAATTCAAATATTCTAGTGCAAAGGCTAATATGCTTGGAGCAATATTTGGCTTTTCTTTTATGCACCTCAATTCTTCAGGGCTAAAATTCAAAGCATTGAATTGTGAGTATAATGCATAATCCTTGAACCTATTTTGTCAGGCAGCTAAAACAAGTCTCTGCTTTGCATTTAAATGTTCCGTGAGTAACTGACACATGCACAGACACTATTACCACCTTATTCCAATTATTAGACTACTACGCAATGTGTGCACTAATATTTACACAGACTTTTTATAACCAACATATCCTAACTATTTCCAACCTGCTGCAAACAAAACCGATGCAGCCAAACAACATTCTGTTGTATCCTGTAGAGCAGGCATCCCAAAAGTGGGCCGCTGTCCTGCAGGTTTCAGAGGTTTCACTGCTCCAGCACAGCTGATTTACATTGATAGTTGACTAACAGGCTTTTGTTGAACTGCAATTATCCGAATCAGCTGTGCTAAAGCAGAGAAACCTCTAAAACCTGCAGGACAGCGGCCCTCGAGGACCTTCTTTGGGGATGCCTGCTCTAGAATAACAAAAATACTTCTTCTTCCCTTTTTATTAAATCAAATTTTTTATAATTTTGAAGTCGAAGGAAAGTGACAAGCTTTCCAAAATGTTTTCAAACAAAAAACGGAAATAAAACATTAATTGTAAGGGAGCTTATCATAGTTTAATATAACTATAAATACAATTATTTTGAAAAGGGTCCCAAAAGGTTTTTTTCAGAAACAAAAATCACCACAAATACCAAGGGTTGAAAGGGCTAATGTTTAGAGTAGGGTTGGGTTATAAAACAAGATCCAGAGCTTTAAGGATACAGACACGGCATACATACAACTCAAAAATCAATGTTCAATCCATCTTCTGAAAATAAAAATAAAACAGGATGGAAAAAAAACTAACTACAAACCTATCAAGACATGGCTGTCAACCCAAACGGACAGGCCAGAGAAAAGAGTCAGAGAAGCAGCCAACAGCTCCATAATAACAATGAAGGAGATGCAGAGATCTTTTCTCTTTTGCCTTGAATTCAGGAAAACTGGCCTATTTTGAAGAGCGTCAAGAAGTATTGCTTAATAAAAGCCACACAACAAGCTATGATGGGGCCATAGGAAACAATTGGAAGAGTGTTTTTGTCAGATTAGACCAAATCCTTTGTCCTCACTATGCTGTTGGTGGTTGCATCACAATGCTGTGAGGATTCCAGAAAAAAAAAAAAAAATCCACACTTCTTCCCAAAAACTGAATATCAATATGCCACTCTTTATCTTACTGTATATAAAAGAAGAAAATAATTTTTTCTTGTAACCACGAGATCATATTTGAAGTAGTTTATTTGAAATTCTGCATGCCAGCGATACATTCAACAAATGTTATAGTTATTTTTAGAGCATTCAATGCCAATTTAATACTCATTAATGCCGAAGTTTACATGAAGGGATAGGGACATTTTAATAGCTGAAGAGAAAGCAGAAAAAAGTCATAGAAATGTTTCATAATAATTGATATCATCATACATATTTATTATTCTTATCAATTTCCTTCCAAATAACATTAATGCACTATTTTATCTTGGTATTTCATAAAATAAGTGTTCAAATTAAAGAGGTGTAGATATTTTTCAATTTATTGATGCACAAAATAAATGGGTATTTGTTTTACACTTGCACAGCGTTCAGTAACTGATGGGTGGCGCTACAGAGGAGGAAATAAGTGTAATATCTAAGAGCAAAGACAGAGAATACTTCATTACTGAATATCAACTCATTCTCTATGTTTTCACTCTTGTATTGATTCTTTTACTTTTCAATTATTCATGTTGTTATGAAATCCTCCCTCTGGAGACACACCATCCTCATCCTTATCCCCCTACCCCCTACAATCTAATAGCTATTCAGTTAATCAATGCAACTTTAGAAATCTAATTTGTTTTCATGCTGTACTGTTGTGTTATTGAGTGAGCCGTTACTTTTTTCTCTGATAAATTAAAGTTTCTATTGCTTTTTGTTCCATGTAGGTGAGGTTGCTTACTTCATCTTTTAACTCTTAATGTTTCTTTTTCCTCACATTCAAATCATTCTTTCTTATCTGAAGTTTAAACTTTTGCCTCACTAATATCTAGCACCATATTGTGTTCAGCTCTTTATATTCTTCGATTTTTCATCAGAAACATGTTTTTCTTTTCAGTTCTTTGGGGGATTCCACTATGCATCCGCTAATTCAGGTCTGATGGTGCTCATCTATGATTAATGAAGCATCTCCTCTGTAGTCTTTCAAATTAGGCATCATAACACATTTGGCTTCTGATTTTCCACTGCTGGTATAAAGGCGTATACAGAGATCCCCTCTGAGAGACTAGGTGACCTCGCTGGGATCCTCCCTTTGGTGTGAACTGAATCAAAACATTCAAAGCAGGAAATAAACTTTTACAGCAATGGAAACTTAAACATTTGAGCTTTATTTTGTTTGTTTCCTTTTTCTAGGCAAAGCTTCATCTGCAAAACTTCAACAACTTGCATCTCTTGCGAGTCTTTTAGATGATCAGCAATGGCACTATGTGGCAGTGGAGCTTCGTGGCCAGAACCTCAACCTCACTGTGGACAAGCACACATTGGGGGTCAAAATCCCTCTAAAGTTCCACCACCTTGACATAGAAGAGGTTTGATGAACTAAAACCACTTCCTTAGCTCTGAGTTAGTATAAATGATGAAGTAACTGACACTAATAATAATCTGTCTTTGGATATTTTTTCCATACAGTTAAGTGTGGGTACGGTTGAGGTTATGAGCTCTCATAAACTATTTCGCTCCAAGAAGAGTTTCCATGGCTGCCTGGAGAACTTGCTGTTCAATGGACTCAACTTGATACAACTTGCTAAACTTCAGGATCACAAAGTTTCTCTTGTGGTAAGTTGTTAAACACCTGGGCTTCAACTTAAGAAATATTTAGTCAGGCTTTGCTCAATGGTCTAATTTAAACGGTGTCCAAACTTCCAACAGGGAAGACTTTAACTTATAGTATTTTTTAAAAAAAGGGGACTGAATGCCTACAAAGTAATTTCATAATTTTTATTAATATTTTTTCACAGTAAAGAACTGATCAGGTTTGTGTTATATACATCAATCCATTTTCCGTCACACATACCCCAGCTGGGATTGCGATGGGTGCCTATCTCCAGCAGTCAATGACATGTCACCAGTCCATCGCAGGGCAACACAGAGACAAACAACCATTCACGCACACACTCACACCTAAGGAGAATTTAGAGAAGCGCATTAATCCAACAGTCATGTTTTTGGACAGTGGGAGGAAGCAGGAGTACCCGGGGAGAACCCATGCATGCACAGGGAGAACATGCAAACTCCATGCAGAAAGATCCGGGGCTTGGAATTCACTGCAAAAACAATCTAAACATGAGTAAAATATGTCTTAAATGAAGTGCATTTACCCTTAATTTGAGTGGTTAAATAAGATGATTTGCCAATGGAATTACTTTTTTACTCTTAACATAAGATAATTCGATAACATGTACTTGAAATAAGACAATGCAATTGTGTTTTCTTATTTTAAATTTAAATTGTCTTGTTCCATTGGCAAAGTGTCTCTTTTATCTCCTCAATTAAAGAACAAATGCATGTATTTTAAGAAAAAATGACTTATCTAGATTTTGTTTTTTTCCAGTGTTGAACTTTGAACCTTCTTGCTGCAAGGCTACAGCTCTACGCACTGCGTCAAAGTGCAGCCCATGTTATAACCATGTTTTTGTCATTTTTGGATTAGAATTAACATGATTCCCTGTTTGCACTGCAAAAAATATCTAGAATAAGTAAAACATTTATTAAATTAAGTGTATTTATCTTTATTTTAAGTAGGTAAATGAGATAGAGTGCCAATGGAATGAGTATTTTTACTCTTAAAATGAGATTATTAGATAATATGCACTTGAAAAAAGACAATGTAATTGTGTTTTTCTTATTCTAAATATACATGTTCTTGTTCCATTGGCAAAATGTCTATTTTACCTCCTCAATTCAAGAACAAATGTACTTATTTTAGGAAAACATGACTTATCTAGATTTCAATTTTTTCCAGTGTGCTTTGTTCATTTTCTTCCTTTATACAGAGAGTAGCTTTATCTCAATCCAGGTACAATGACATGAGTTTTTATGGACATTTCTTCACAAGCAAAATAGTGAAGGAACAAAAAACATTAAGAACAGTGGAGAGAGAGAAAAACAAAGTATATTTTTATTAATTGAGATAAAGTTTTACTTTAATTTAGTTTCAGCAACTTTTTAAATGTTTTTAAGGAAATGCAAAGAGGCATTACATTTTGGCAAGGAAGTATAAAGACTAATATATGATAATAAATACACAAGGTAACATTACAGACTGCAGAGGAAAAACTCTGAATAGACAAGTTTAGATGATAAAGTCAGATCTTATAGGGAATCTGTTGCTCTAAAAGGCTCTGTCAGAAAAGTTTTGGTGGCATTTACTACAAATACTGTAAGGTTTCTCCTAATGTTTTGTAGGGGAGGAAGTTCATTGACAAGATAAAGTTAGATGTGGGAGAAATTCTATATCTTGTCACTTCTGTAACTGCTTTATGAGCCAAATAAGGTAAAATTTTATGTTAAGTGTACCACAAAGAGTGTTTAAAAGGGATCAGTATTTCCAGTGGACAGCACCAGCTACTGGGATAAAATCCCGCTGCAGACATGGCACCGTTATTGTTTAATAAAGCCAGAGCAATGGACTCTATTTCATCATCTTCACTTGAAACAATAGAGCGCACCACATCAGATGCTGCTGGGTTCTCTATTCTTTTATCTTCAAATCTTTATCTACGTTACCTTTACAGGAGGTGACTTTGGTATTTTAAGTATGCATTCTAATCTTATCCCAAGCTCCGCTGTTATCAATATGGAAATACCGTTGTTCTTCTTAAGGAGACTTGCTGATGAGAGCACTGTGACAGGAGGCCACATCAACATGGCCTCTGCAGCCAATTAATATTCATGTAATTTGATGTTTTATCTCTCCAGTAATCATTTAGTCCCATCACTTATCGTCTCTCCTTTTCCTCTGCATGTTTTTTTTCTCTCTCTCAGGGCAATGTGACCTTTTCTTGTGCTGAGCCAGTTTCTGCTGCTGTGACGTTTCCCGGGCCCCAGAGCTTCCTCCAGTTGCCGTGGACAGCTTCATCCTCCTCAGGGAGTGCGTCCATTGGGTTTCAGTTTAGGACGTGGAATAACGCTGGGCTTCTGCTCACTTTTGACCTTCCTGGGCAAGGAGGCGTGGTCTGGTTGTTTTTGAATGAAGCGAGACTCTACATGCAGATCCAGAAAGAAGGGAGGGTGCTGCTGGAGCTCAGTGCAGGTCAGCTGACGTCCACTTCCCAACTATGATTTGTGAAACCAACAATGCCACCAAAAACCACACTAACAGCTGAACAGAAACAATCAGATGTCAACTCAATGCAGGATTTATGCTGCTTAGAAGCAAGTGTTAGCCATGAGTGTTAAGTATGTGATTTATGGTGGTGTACATTTTAATAATTGAACTTTATTGATGTCACATTGGAGAAATTTACCTCTGCATTTAACCCATCCCGTCGGGGAGCAGTGGGCTGCCATCGTGGGGCGTCTGGGGAGCATTTGGGGGTTAAGGTTTGCTCATACTGTAGACCCAGAGCAGCAGTCTGTGGGAGAAGGGCTCAGGAACTCAGAACCAAGATCCAAGCTTTATGACCTAACCACCAATTCATACCACAATGCATCAAATATGGTATCTATACCAGCATCTACGCCAGTGGCAATTTCTCATTGAATACTAGGGAAGCATTTAATATGCGTAAAATGCATTTGATTTCATGAGTATATTGCACGTTATTTTGCTATTGAGCCCGCTCTTGGACGCGATCTCACCTGCCAGTCAGCCTCTATGAGAAATCCCTGTTGAGGTTTGAGCCTTGGTCTAATGAGGCAAGCAGCGAAAAAGTAAAGCCCTGATTGGATAACACAACAAAATATGTCACTTCCAGTTAGGCTAAGGTAACCAGGTGTTAGAGTGGAAATGAAACGGTTAACCAAACTAACTCAATTCATAAGGTTGTGTCTTACCATTATCAATAATTATAGAAACATATGAAAATATAAACATAAGAGGAAATGGAAGCGTTGTTTTATAGTTTTTTTTGGAAAGGTCACCTCCATGTTACAGCACTCTAAGTGGTGACGTCATGGGGTTGGTAGATGCTTCAGTTATCAGTTGAGTACATTGATAATATGAACGATAAATCACTACTAGGGGTGTGGAAAGAAATAGCTTTGGCAATATATCGTGATTTTTGGCTGCCTGATCTAATATAGATCTTAAGTTCCTATTATTTATTATGGGCTACCTTTGTACCGACACTGGCAGATAGTGCTGTGGAGCCCTTATCTGTAGTTGAGGCAGTCACAGTGGAAGACGTGGACTGACTCAAACCCCAAAAAAACATGGATACCATCCATCCATCCATCCATTTTCTTTACACGCTTGTCCCAAGTGGGGTCGCGAGGGGTGCTGGTAACATGGATACCAAAATAACTAAATAATCAATATCATCTGATGAACATATACAGTGTAACGATCTCAGAATGTTGGACCCAGAATTCAAAGCATTTATTTAACAAACAGGTGCGCGGGGCTGCTCGTCTGCTGCGGGGCGGATCTCTGCAGGGATAGGAGAATACAGGTCAGTGACTGGATGTGGAGCTGAATACGACTTGGAGCTAGTCACTGACCTGATTCAAAGTTCAGTCTGTTCGCGGAGAACACAGCTGAATCCAGGAGGGAGGTTTGACCGCAGTTGCGGCGGGTGACGCACCAGAGTTCCTAGAGAGTGAGCGGTGCGGGCACCAGCCGACGCCGAGCAGCAACAGAGTCCAGAAGGGAAATCCAAGGCCGAAGTCAGGAGACAGTTCCAGGTTCAGAAGCCGGTAGAATCCAGGATTAGATGCGACAAACAGAGCAGACAGGGGCAAGGCAAAACTCGAGATCCTCAGGGCAGAAAACTGGTCATAATCAGGGAAACAGACAGACTAAAGAAGGCTAGGAAACATCTCACCAAAACACACGAATAACCTGGCGCTAAAGGGAGGCAAACGCACAACTTAAATAGTAGAGGAACCAGGTGGAAATGATCGGCGATAATCAGCTGCAGAACCAATTAGAAAGCTGAGCAAGGAGCAAAGGAAAAAAAACTAACCATCAGCGCCAAGATCATGACACATAGTTGCTTTTTATCTATATATTCAATTAGGACAGCAGTAAAAATATGGTAATATATAGTGATATTGCAATATGGTGATATCGTATCATGACTCAAGTATCATGACACTTGTGGTACACAACACCCATGTCAATCACCCCCTAATCACAACCATGAAACACTTAGGAAAACATTTAAGAGATTTTATATGATAGAAGACAAAGCTGAAAGGCACTCGAGCATCTAAATCACTTTGCTTATACTTTTGATCCATTTGCCATATGACTCGGTCTGTAGTAAGGCAAGAAGAGGCAGTTTTGGAGCCTGGGTTCTGACTTGAACCTGATAGAACACGGTTGTGGAGATTATGTAAGGCAGAATACTTTTGAGTCTGGTTGGCTAGCAGTGACTTGGACAGCTGGTTAAATCCTGGAGCTGCTCCAAGTGTTTTTGATTTCACTGCCTACAGTATAAGCTGGGCTCTGCTGATCAGCCAACACCCTCTGAAAGCGCTTCATCGGCAACAATCAGCTGTAATGACAAGTTACGAAAACACGCTAAGCAGGTAGATGATGAAGAAGTTCGGCATCAATTCTTTGCCTGCTTGTTAGTCAACTGTCACAGTTGCTAGGCAACAGAGCTTAAGCTAAGTGTTGAGTGGTGACAACCGGAGAAGGCTGGACGTGTTTGTCTTTATAGCCAAACTCTTCTACCCGCCTTATTTTCATGCCTCCGAAGGACCCAGTCCAGGTAGGCCGGGTCTATAGGGCTCTGGATCCGCGTTGCATTGTGGGACGTGGTGGCCATGTTGAATGCTATGCTCTGATAGCATAGCTCCGATAGCATAGCTCTTATACCGTAGCTCTGGTAGCATCGCTCCGAAAGCACAGCTCCGACACAACGTTGTGAGAGAAAAAAAAGATGTTAAAATCCGGAAAA